CATAAGCATATAAATATAATAATTTTATTTTAGACTTGTAGAAACAATGATTTACTTAGAATTATATGATAGATTTTTTTCTTTAGTCAACATTACTGAACCACTAAAATAATTGATACGAAGAACTCGAAATGAAAGGAAAAAAATATATATGAAATTCTTAGTTTATTTTAATTCCAGTAACTGAACACGTGGCCAAACCGAACAATGACATTTATCTAGAAAAGATTTTGTAATAAGTTTATTCTTTTTCTTGGAATAACTAACATAAAAATAGTCTTAAAAACTGATTAAACCTTCTTAAATTTTTTAAAATGTTAATTTAGTTTTCTAAAATAAAAACAATGTAGCCTACTATATTTTTCATCATAAAAAATATACATATATATCGAATTTCAAGTCGGTCTTGACAGCACATTTGCCTTCAACATATGTTACGATATGTTACTGTAGGAAAAGTAAAAAATAGAATTTAGTTGCAAAACCTATTAACTTTTATTAATAGCTGAACATAAATTTTAATAAGTCGGTATTTAATCTTATAAAACAATTTTATATTCATTTAAATTACAATTTAATGTTTAATTATTGTGAAGTCCACTCACGCATGATTTAGAACAGTGATGTTAGAATTAATTTCCCTAAATCATTTCGTACTCGATTTCTTCTAAAATCCTAATGAATCTAGTTTATTTATATTTGATTTCAATTATTTCCATATTAACCCGCAATAAAGGTTAATCCAAAGGCACGTGTAATCCAAATTTAGCAATGGCATTCCTGAATGTAAATTGCATGCAAACGATCCGCCTGCCTAGTGAGCCACTGTTCTGTCACATCGCCATTAACTAACCACTTATCTAACCTGTGTTATTAGCCTATCTTAACAAATTATCAATTTTCAAAAGCCAAACGCCAACTCATCCACGGAGACCGGTTAGCACGGGTCACTGAACTAGACCAATGGGTGCTAATGGGTGGGGCACACTACCCTCCAGCGCCGGCAAGTCGACACGCCCCTCTACGTGGAGATGAATACTATAAATTCTGCACCTCTTCCCAGTCCAACAAATTGCTTACGATTTTTTAAACCGGGAAATTAATAAGCTGGTTATTCGCTTCGAATTTCCCAAGCTATCTGAGAATTTTAAGGTGAACCAGTTCTTAGCGTGAAAAATCTAACCATCCTTATCTATTGTCACGTGGCCCGTATTTAGCAACGAGTTCTATTATGGGCAACATGGAAGTCAAGGTTTTAAAAGGCCGTCTATGATCGTTCCATGTCAGTGATTTTTATGTTCGCGTTTCTATTGTCTACGTAGCAATGAACAGTGCATTTTAAGAATTAGAAATTTGCGCATTTCAGACTCGAAAATTGTTACTTTTAAACCTGTTAAATTTATGAAAATTAAAATTACTCAAAAAACACAATTATTTATTGGTAAATGAATATATTAAAAATTTAAATTTTATAAAACTCTACAGTGCTAAAAACTACTTTAAACATTCTTCTTTCTTCAAATCCTGATCAGCAATATAAAAGTTTAGATTTGACTTGTAAAATATAGTTACATAAATTTGACATTTTTTTGCAGTCAAAATAATTTAACATTTCCTTTTAGAACCATGATATATAAGTTTTGTTGATGCATTAGGTACAATCGATGGGTGGCATTCAGAATGCCCCACCCTCTTTCAAAGACATAGACCAGTCTCACATCCTTGCTAGGGGAGTATGTGGCACACCAAAGAGGCGAATCCTATTGTTACAGTAAGCAATGTTTTAAAAGTTAATTCAAAATTCACGTACAAAGCGAAATATATCATGGAAATTAAAAGATGTGATGACACTTTCAGACAGAACAATTATAACATACAAAAAACTGGTTTCATACACAAAATGCGACTTTTCTAAAACTTAAATATTAACAGTTATTTTTGTTTTTATTTTTATTTTTCGGACAAAGTAGGCAGAGCTAAGTCACGCAGAACACTTCTGGTAATACACACATTGGGGACAAGGACGGTAAAAACTTTTAACAATGAGACAAACGTCATTTAAAATATTCTAAATATCGTAAAATGAATAATAAACGTAAGACTTTCAAAGCGGATAAATGCATAAAATAATATTCGATTATATTTTAACATTTCGGTTTCAAATTATTAAAAAAAAATACGTTAAAACTGATCTTAAAACCTAGCATCAAAATAAACATTTTGCTGATACTAGGATAGATAAATATGAATACTTTTAGATATCATGAAGAATTATCGTGAAAATTCTAACCTTGCTTATGGAAGATGGATCTGAAGAAGGATGGGATTGTTGAACGCGTGGGATTCTTTCATGTTTTAGTACATGTGCATTCAGTTTTATTCGATGCTCACACGCATTATCGAGTGTCAAACCAACATGATTTCTACACGAGTCTTATCATCAAAAATATATTTACTCGTACTAAATCGCTTATGTAAACAGAAAGCAATCTTTTGAGGTCAAAAGTATCCGTTTAACGCATGCAAATCATTTCTGCGAAAAATCTATCTTTGTAATTACAAATACTATACTAGATCAATCATATTCATTAAAAAATTTGCATATTAAAATGCACGCGTAATTATTTTCATAATTATTTTTTGATGCTAAAAATATTAATAAAATTCTACAACTGACAAGCAATAAAATGCTTACCGCTTACACAGCTTTCGCTTTGCGTGTACACATTGGTTCCTTTTACTTTAACATTTTACAAAAGTACTCTAAATAAATTTATATAATAAATATAAATATGTTCAATATGAGAATAGTCACGTGCTCGATAACTTACCCAGATACGAAAATATATAGTTCAACGAATCTTAAAGACGGAGCAGAGTGTAGCCACTTCAGTTTAAACAAGAAATGGACGTTGTCAAACGGCGTACCTGTACACAACCTTGCTTGGCAAAGAGGCGATCAAGGTAGGCCTCAGGGCAGCACACAGCCATCCTTCACTGTGCTACGGGCGAAACGCAGCTGATAATGGCTGCAGTGGACTCCGTTTAGACAAGAGACTTAGAAGCGATAGTTTTTACTTGATGCGATAAAAAGCAAGTTATCTAAAAGCTAGGCTTCAGTTGTCAAAGTTGTCAAAACAAACCAATAACATTGATTATTTATAACTGTTCTATCAATATCCCTACTATATACCATATACTTGTTTTTCACAAAATTATATTTTTTAAATAAAATAACCTCTTATAAATTTGAATAGAAAAAATCATAATGACCCAAGATTGCAATGATCGATTGTTTAGAAAATATATTTTAAAACGTTATTATTTTTATTACAAAAGCAATAAAATATTCTAGGGTCAGTTTTACAGCGGAAATGACGTCATATGCCGTGACGACGTGACATGAGGAAGTCAGAAAGTAATCCGAGTGGACCGAGAGTCCTTGAAAGAACGCTCTACGAGTTCGTCCGAAGGGATCCGATTTCAGAATAATAAACGCCAGAAGAATGGTGGAAAAATGCAGACATTTCACAATCGTAATCTTTCTTGGCAAATGACAAATTGCTTATTTTCCTCACTCACCCAAATATCCCTCAAGGATGGCGATACGACTTGCAGCGGCGACAATTCGGCGACATTCTGATTCCCTGAAAGGCCAAAACCCCTTTTCTTCCTCCCTGGTCCACAGATCCCTTTCAGATAACGTCTTGGCCCAGAAAGACGTCAAGGACACCTTCGGCAAGACTTTCCCCAGAACAGGATTTGGTCGAACGAAGGCTCCTGCTGAGAAGCTTGCTAAATATATTTTCCTATTTTCTTTTTTTACAGAAATGGCCCCACTAGATAACGTACAGAATAGATTCAAATTACTGCATTTAATGTATAAAAATTATTATAATAATGAAAAAAATGTTTGATATACATTTATGAATGGAACGACTATAAATTAATATTGTTAAAAATCTGTGAAAGTAAAGTATTATCGTCACAACATGTACTGTAGTTTAATACTCAGCTTGACATAATCGGCACGTACCACCTTGTATTTTGAAGGTCCTCCAGATCCTGTGCACAACTGTAGCATCACTAACCTGACATCTAATGCTGTCATCTTGAGATGTGAAGCTGGAGATGACGGCGGTTTACAACAGGTATTTCACCTGGAAGTGTACAGTATGAAGGATGATAAGAATCTTCAGTCTAATGTTACTTCAGTAGACTTCCCAGTCTTCGAAGCTCAAGGACTTACCTCTGGGAGTTCTTTTATTTTAGTAATATACGCTTCCAATAACCAAGGTCGAAGTAGAGCTGTGACTTTGACGGCCAGTACCCTATTTTCTGCAGAAAGGCATACAGGCAAGAGAGCCTTTAATCGCTACATAACCACGTTTACTTTAATTTTTATTTAATTTTTCTGTTTTTATTTTAAATTCAGTTTTTTAAAGTTATTTAAAGTGAAGAGAATAAGGATAAAAATCAATTTAGATATTTATTCTTTAATTAATTCTCTTAAAGACAACTGCATTTCGTAACACAGTAAATGTTTAAGTTAAAAAAAGGGGGGACAGAGAACTTAGAATTGCAATAAAAATTAAAACTACTTTAACAGAATTAATTTTTTATATACCAATAAACAATGATTATAAATCTTCACACGTTTATTCTTTACAATTTTTTTTTTAAATTTGTTATAATTTAATTAGTTAAAAACGTAGATTTAATAATATTAGTTTAATTAAATCTTAGATAATATTTAGTATAGTATATTATTTTATTCCTACTGCACTTAAATAAATAACAGCTTCCATTTTCGTCTAGGTGAACTTCAACCAGTGGCAATTAACGCTGTCTTGGCTGTATTGATGGGTACAGTGGGTGCTTTGCTATTGTTAGTTATTGTCATTATATTCATCATGAAAGCAAGAGGAAGCAGCGAAAATAGAGGTTAGCTATTAATATAAATTGTCAGAATTCCAATTATGTTTATTCTATCTCCAAGACAATTAAATAAATCAATTTTATAAATATTAAGTTAATGACCTTTTTCTTTCCTTTTCATTAACAAATTAGGAGCATCATCTAATATTGACAACGAAGAAAAGTAAGTATCATGTAAATGAAAATTATTAAAATTTCTAGAATTTTACACTAAAACAATGCAAGATAGTAGACATTTAACTGCTTTAATTATATACGTTAATGAAGATACAATATTTAATTTAAATTGTGATGGAATATTTTAATGATTAAATGAACAAATATACATTTTTTAATTAAGTATTTGAAATTGTAAATTGTGTTTATATTAGCATTAAATATTATATTAATTATCTTTTATTAAAATATTTTAGTATTTTTATCAGAGTGTTAATAAGTTGAAATGCTACGTATTTACAGAATTCCATCTCCAATTAAGAAGGAGTTTGATGATGGTAGTCCTGATGTTATTCCATCAAAAAATTATTCAACAGGTAAAAGATAGAATAATTATTTTGAAAGAAAAACAAAAACACGTTATTCTGTATAATTAACATAAATATTCAAATTTATAATTAAATTATTTTTGTAAAATTTGGAATTTCAATTAATGTCTGAATTAATTGTTTTAATAACGAAAAGTGATAAACGTATTTAAAGAATAATTAATTAAAATTAATTTTATTAAATTAAAAAAAAGTTAAACTATTAATAACACACATTAATAAAGAAAAATGAATAATGAATTTATTCTTCTCCAAGTAATAAATGGAACAAATTTTATTTTTAATAAATGTAATTTTATGCAATGATATGCAATTTTAAATTGTTTTAAATCGAATTATTGAAAATCTGATACTTTAAGTGGTGATATAAATCTCATATTACATACTTTCATAAATATTATTACTTTAATTCTTATCTTACTCGCTTTAAATTCGAATAAAATATAAAATAATTTTATATGTAAACATATCTTTGAAATTTTTATAAAAATTGAATTTTTCATTTATTATCGATTTGTCCTTCTCATATTTACATGAATTTTGTTTACAATTTTGAATATTTTCCTGTTATTTTCTAATTTTTGTCTTACCCCACTATATAACTAAATTTTGGGTTTCATAGTTACTTATTTAATTTGTTTTCTTATTTATGAATTGTTGGCCTTGGATATTATAAGAAAATCAATATATTTAATAACATCCCACATTTATTATTAAATGCCTCTGTACATATACATACTATGAGACGTTTCTCAATATTATTTTATTCATATAATGGCTTTTTTTTTCCTCCATTGTTTACTAAATTATTATTAAATTTTTAATAATTTCTTCTTATTTATATTAAATATTTATTAAATTATATGTTCTACTCATTGACATTTATCTTTGTTTATTTTTAAACAATATTATTTATATAAATAGTTGGTGTTCCTGGTGTTTGTTCTTTATATTACCAATTTCTGTTCACAGCATTGGTTATAGTCCTTTATGCTATTTTTTCTTCATGATATTAATTTAAGATCATTATATTCTGTTATTTTTTTTACCTTGATATTTATTAATATTGGCTTAGCATGTTTACTGGGTTTTTAAGTGTTATACTAATTTAATTTAATTAATTACGTACTGTTTTTCTTGTTTAATATTTTGTTACATATTAAAATATTTTAACAGTTTATACTCTGTATGAAAATTTGCATATTTATAACTACTAATCTAATCAAATTTAAACAAATTGATAAGAGAAAGCAGATTAAAATTCAAAAAATAAAACTTTAAAATATTCTGAGATTAAAGGTCAAATTACAATAAAGCAATGTTGTCATTGTTGCTTTTACTTTATTGACTTTTCCGCTGTAGAAGGGATTTAGAAAATTTAGTCATACATTATCTTTAAACATTGGAAAATATAATTTTCTAATATAAAATAGTGCAAACTCATAACTTATAAGATAACCAAAAGTATTTCTTATAATCTATAAAGTAAACAAAATGAAAACAAAAACAAAATGAACCAATAAACAATGATTATAAATCTTCACACGTTTATTCTTTACAATTTTTTTTTTAAATTTGTTATAATTTAATTAGTTAAAAACGTAGATTTAATAATATTAGTTTAATTAAATCTTAGATAATATTTAGTATAGTATATTATTTTATTCCTACTGCACTTAAATAAATAACAGCTTCCATTTTCGTCTAGGTGAACTTCAACCAGTGGCAATTAACGCTGTCTTGGCTGTATTGATGGGTACAGTGGGTGCTTTGCTATTGTTAGTTATTGTCATTATATTCATCATGAAAGCAAGAGGAAGCAGCGAAAATAGAGGTTAGCTATTAATATAAATTGTCAGAATTCCAATTATGTTTATTCTATCTCCAAGACAATTAAATAAATCAATTTTATAAATATTAAGTTAATGACCTCTCACCTTTTTCTTTCCTTTTCATTAACAAATTAGGAGCATCATCTAATATTGACAACGAAGAAAAGTAAGTATCATGTAAATGAAAATTATTAAAATTTCTAGAATTTTACACTAAAACAATGCAAGATAGTAGACATTTAACTGCTTTAATTATATACGTTAATGAAGATACAATATTTAATTTAAATTGTGATGGAATATTTTAATGATTAAATGAACAAATATACATTTTTTAATTAAGTATTTGAAATTGTAAATTGTGTTTATATTAGCATTAAATATTATATTAATTATCTTTTATTAAAATATGTTATCAAATGTACTGTACTGTACATTTCTATACACTGCACTCGTCACTCAATGTTTCATTACAGTATTCACAGTTTTATTACATTTGAATAAATTCCACATTAACAGATGTTTGTGTTCTTGGAAATGTGAAATAAGAGAAACAAAATTACTAAATCTACAATAAATACAAAAGAAACGATAAAGAAAAGCTATTGTCTCAGTTAAAATAAGAAACAATCAGAAAGAAATGCTCTTCTCGCCACATAAAAATGCAATTAGAAACAATATTGNGTGAACAAATATATTTCTTAAAATCTGACCAATAAAACTTTACTATTGACTGATCTGAATTATATTCAATCTCGGTATATGTATAAGCATTTTTATTTTCTTTTTTTATTTTTCTTTGCTTATACTTGATTTACTTCAGTGGCACAATCATATTTTCCAGAATTACGACGACATTACATACGCAGAGTTGGACCTTCCCAACAACCAACAAGCAGCTGTAAGAGAGAGGATAGATCCACCAACTGAATACGCAGACATTGATTTTCAAAAGATCACTAAGACCGTATCTTCTCCAGGCAACGAGAATGAAGAAGATGACTGCGTTCAGACCCCATTGATTACTAGCAAGCTCTCTGGCTGCACGGTAAATTTTAATGCTTAAATATTACAAAAATATAAATCTGAATCCATATTAAATTATACTTTTCCCGAAAACAAAGTTACGTAGATTAAAAATAAAGTTTCGAATCATGCTGAAGTTCATCCTTTTTTTTTCTTGATTCTTTCATTTATTCACTCTTGACTACAGTAAAATTTTATTTTTATTGTTTTCTTTTTTTTTATCTTTGCAGAGTTCAATGCCCGACAGAGAATGTCTCCGGATTTCTCCTCCAGTGTGACAAAATAACCGTTTTTGTGATTCAGAATCCATATTTATACGGATACCGAACAACAGGGTTCTATAGCTAAGGACTGAATTTTAATTCTGTGGATCGTATTTCCATATCCACCAAATTGGGAATATCAACCTCAAAACTTACCAAACAAAACTTATTATTAAAAAAATGCCCTCTCTGGTGGTTATTATGAGACTGAGAGCTTCTTCGCTCAGCCTTCTTACAATATCTGTTTATCTTTATCTGTTTGTCTTTGGACTATATACAGATTTTAATGTTTTATACCAGAAACCGGGCACTCTTTGTGAAAAAAAATATAAAAAAAACCGCTATGAAATCAAGAACATCGCATGTTAATGCGATTCATTGCTTGCCTTCACGACAGGGACAGTGTTGAAAAATTTATATATATCATGACTTCATCCAGTGATGATTTTTGATGAGAAAATATCGTCATCTGTTTCAAATCGAACTCTTTGTTACCTGTAGGGACTATGAGGTGCATTTTGAACAGCTCGCATCTGCACCACTCTTTCGCTGGATCATGTAGATTGATTGTCATGATAATGCTGTTGCGTGCACGTGTAAATTCTTGCCACGTTAAGAGATAATGCTGCCGTAGTTTCTTATACTGGTGATAATAGCTCAACTCTTTTATTCTGTTTTTGAGCTGAAAGAATGAATAAAGTTATGATAAACGTTCTAGTAAGTGTAATTTTATTTACAGTTTGAATTGAGATATAAATCTTTTTCTCTTTACTTCTTGAATTATCTTTTTAATTTTTTCTTGAATTTTTATATAATTTTCTTATTATTTTGATAAATTGATACATGGTTAGCTTTTATAAATAATTATAGGTATATTTCATAATTATTGAATGAACATTTTGGCTATATTGTAATATATGTTTCATACAGATGAAATTATTTATATTGTATGCTATATATTTGAGTAAAAAAATAAAATAAACTTTTTATTAGTATTAATAATATGTTAAATATTATATTGGCTTTTTATTTTAAATCATTTTATTTATATTAATAATTCATTTTTTAAAACAAATTATGCGTCAATGAATTTAAAACTTCAAAATCAAATCGTAGTTTAAATTTACACATTACTATGCATTTTATACACGTATAACTTTAAAATTAAATTTTTATATAGATTTAAACGTTGAAAACTTTAAAGATTTTTAATACAAAAACAATTTAGCCCATTAAAAATTAAGTATGATTGACTTTTCGCCCTTTTTTTAAAGTGTCATCCACAATACATATTAAAGTAATTAAAAACACGTCATACATAAGTCAGGCATTGCTTTTCTTTTTTACAGCATAAGTTTTTTTATAATAATTTTTTTTATCTTGTTAATTTTCTTCATGATGTTACCAGGCCCAATTGAGCTTATTCGACCTGTTAGAAAGCACTTAGATGAAGGAGACAGTCAATCATCTGACATCATTTCCCACTTCAACCGCTCCGCCCACCAACCAATTCTCTTTTCTTAACATCTTCTGTGGTAATAATTATTATCTTGTATGACGTATCAGACATTTTCTGTCCAACTAAGTCAATTAACGTTCTTAATGTGTTATCGCTTAGTCCGTATCAATGATTCATTTCGATGCTTAATTATCGTCTATACACAAATTTGTCTTAACTAAAATTGATAATTTTTAATCATATAAGAAAATTAAGCGATAATAATTAACTGAAACGAAATTTTTGAAATTCATTTTACATTTTTCTGTACATAAATAACATAAACACATCATTAGAAAGAATTCCCATGCTTCTGATTTGCATACTGTTCAATAAATTGTAGATTAAATTGTTTTAATTTAGAATTAAAATTGATTTAATTTAGTTTATTATAAATGTATTTA